GTGTGTGTGTGTATGTCTGTGTGCGCTCGTGCCTGTGCATGTGTGTGTGTAAACGTTTGCACTATACAGAATATTTTCAAATGTGCAAGTGCTATGTACCGTCTTTTGCTCGTGCCATTAATGGCAGACAATCGTACCATAAATGAGTGTCATCTGTGTAAGTTCAAATTGTGTGATGTGAAATTATGTCATGTCTGGTGGCTGATTCCTTTCTGTTTGTATGTGCTTTAAATGTGTTGTGCTGTGCCGATGTACCGTGACATTTTTTACTGCAACCTCTCTAAAACCGCTGCATGTGCTTGTGCTTGTGTGAGTGAACGTGTGTGTGTACGCATGTGTCTACAGTATGTCTCCGTCCTCTATGCTGAAGCTGGACCTGCGGCTTGAGTCCACCGAGGCTTCTGGGGACATCGCAGAGAGCAGCGGGTCTCCACCCATAGGGGACAAGGGCTCATCCATCATCAGGAAGCCCAGCTCGCCTCTCCTCCCCTGGACGTCCAGTCCGCCCAAGTCGCCTAGCCCCGACATGCCATCTGAGAAGCCGGGTATCCCATCACACAAGTCCAGCGACTGGGTAAAGTCAAAGGGCTGGGAGCTGCCTACAGATGGGAACTGGATGGGTGGCTGAGGCTGAAGGTGGTGGGGGAGTGGTGGCAGCTGCCTGGGCTGGAGCTGATTCTGGCCCTGGTGGGGGAGGTGGGTCTGCGGGAGGAAGTGGTGCTGCTGGGCCTGAGGATGACCCTGGTTCTGGGGTAAGTGCTGGGGCTGGTGGTGGCCTTGTAACTGGGAGTGAGAGAGGTTCTCCTCTGGGCTGGTTTCTTGTTTTATATAAGGAGCCATCAGGTCATTTGGGTTCAGGCCAGAGGGGGAGTTGCTGGGCAGGCCATGCAGACGAGCCTGCATCTCTAATTCCTGTGGACAGCGGGCGGAGGGCAACATGCAACACTCAGTATCAATGCATTTGCTGTGATTATGTTTCTCTGCATGTATGTGTGTGGGTGTCTCACCTGGATGCGTAGCAACAACTGTTTGTTGGCTATCTCCATCCTTTTGAAGTTGTTTTCCACCTCTCTGGTCCTCTGAACATCTTTCTGCATGCGTTTGATGTACTCTACAGACGCCCGCAATATAGTGCCTTTGTTCCAGCGCACGTCACTATGCACACAGTAAAGTACAAACATACAATTTCTGCAGGTAAGTAACTGGCAGTAACAGATTCAAATATTTTATCTATACTGAAGATACATACAGCAAAAGCAACTCACAGGTCATTGGTTTTGGGGATCATGGTGCCCAGTTCTTTGATACGATCATTGATGTTGAATCTCCTCCTCCTTTCAACTATTTAAGAGGAAAGGGGAGATAAAATAGGAAGAGACAAAGGAAAAGACATGATGAGGACAATAGTACAGAGAACTCACAGACATGAAAGATGAAACAAAAAAGAACTTGTTCAAGGCAGATTGTGGCTTTTGGAACCACAAAACTAAATTCTAAGTACAAGTACATGTATGTATAGCATTGACACAAACAGTAAACATTCAATTCGATTAAATTTTATTTGTATAGCGCCAACAGAAGTTATCTCAGGTCTATACCGTAACATCAGACAGAAAGGGTTTAATTCTGCAGCTGATGAGTTGGCACTGGATATATACAGTTAAAAAGTAAAAGGGAGAAACACACACACACACCTACACAGTCACAGGCAATTAAACCTAAGTGCTAGAACAGCAGAAATGACCAGGTTAACCATCCACCCACTTGTTGCACTATGTCAGCTAAATCACCACAAGACTGCATTTTTTTTGCGAGAGACAGATTATGTGTGTGTGCGTGTATGCAAGTGTGCAAGTGTTTCTAAGGACGTACAGTATAAAGGTGAGAAAGTAGAAAAGAGTTCATCATTTAGGTAAAGCTGCATGCTGAGGGAAAGACTCACTCAGATTGTGGTTGTCTTTCTTCTGTCTCTCCTTGGCCAGCGCACGGGCTTCTGCATCTTTGCAATAACAAAAAGTGATTAACTAATGGCTGAGACTGTGTCATGTCTCAGAGAGTTTTTCATACAATATAAATTACAGGACAGTGCAAGACAGCTAATGTTTTACATTTACTCAATGACAAACAGTCTTTTATATAACTTAGTAACAGCTTAATAGTTTGACTGAGTTTAGATAATGTGTTTCCTGGCAATCAAAATGTTACTACAAAGTGTAGAACTTTGACTTTCGCACCTGACAGTTCTCGTTTGATGGTCAGGTTGGCAGGACAGGAGTTACTGGTCATTGCTATGGCTGGCCCCTTCATTCCAGGACCTGTGTACACATCCAGGTGACTGCTAGAAAGGGGGAGCTGGGGAGGACACACACACACACACACACAGCCAAACATACACACAACAAACATACACATTTAGAAAACCAACAATCTATAAATGAAATTTGATAAAAAATTATTTCATTATGTCATATATAGACGACTGATGAATGAACAAGCAAGGAGTTAAGAAGCATTTTCGAATGCCTCCATGCAACGACATCTTAGACCACATTAGAGAATGAAGAAATCAGTTGGTTGTGAATGAAACTTTTCAAAAGCACTGAAGATGTTCAATGAGTGATTATAACAAAGTGAAAACCCTAAAAACATCTTGCAAACAATATAATGAACACAGTGGCTGGTTTCACTGGTGTTAAATCTAAATTATTTTAATGTTTCCTACTCATTTACAGATCCTTACACCTTTATAAGTACCTCATGTTAAGTGTGCTGTAAAGAACAGATAGCAGGAGATAATGCAACAATATCACACCTAAGGACAGCATGCCAAACACACAGCAATGATTGACTCTCATCCTATCTATCTTATCTCTGTTTATGGCTTGATCCTCTCCTCAGCCTTCTCCTGCTCCTAAACTCACAGTAGTAGACAGGTCTTCTACCTCTTGCACTTTAGACGTTGCACAACAGCTGTGATATAGTTTTGTATGGACTCCTAAAAAGACATGATTTCCTTTTAATTGTATTGCATAGTTTGAGTGTGATGGACTTTTTTATGCCTCGTTACCAATCGCGTCGTACTCCCTCAGGCGAGGGCAAATGTGACGCTGCTAATGAGGCCTGAGAGATAAAGAACTTACAGCAAGAGATAACCTTATCTGCTGGCTACTGTGTGAGCTGTGAGATCAACCGCATTCACACGCATAAATACACACAGACCTCCAAAGGCTCACTTCTGTATGTAAATGATACGAAATCTCAGAAAACATCTAAACAATTCAGAGCTGAAGAATAAATCTTATCTAGTGAGGAGGAAATTGTGTTGTTGTGGTTCACAGCTGTGCCACTAGTTGATTCACATTCACATTCATAGACATAATATGTAATATTATTGTGATTTTCAGTTGACATTCTAGTACTACTAATACTTCAAACATCATTTGAAGAAAAAAATCTGACATATTTAATGCTATCTACTGTAAGCCCTGTTATCACTGTTTTCTGCTGCTCAATCAAAAACACACAGTTTAAAATAAACTCCAATTCCCAGCCTCCACCAAGATTCTGCACTGACCTCCCATGTCCTGGCCAGACAGTCTACCTTCTCACCATGCCCCTATCCAATGAGAACACATCTAATTCAATTGAACGAGCAAGCGTGACCGGGATTCAGTATTTCTCAGTGTAGCCATCCATACACAGTCACACACACACACACACACACACTTAAAAGACGAACTGTTCGCTTGTGCCTGGTATTCAGTGGCGCTTTTACTAAACTTTGAGATTCCAAGAATTCCATGGAGTTTGCCGCTTTAATCCCCATCAGGATTAGCAGGTGAGTTTTACTCACTAGTCTGCCAGTTGGGAATGAGGCTGAGTTCTCTTTCCAGTGTGTTCTAACACAAAACACTTGTATGTTCTGAAAATGCAGCATTATTAATATATTGATCTGTTTCATTCATCTTTAAGCTTCTCTCACGTCTGGGTTTACACACACTGATCACCCTCAGGGTTGATCAGTCACTTAAATCTAATCAATCAGTGTGATGTTAAGTACACACACACAGAAATACATGCATGCAGACACACTCACACTGATTAGATCAACCACAGCGGCCATACTATGAGATAAACCTACTGGGCTTCCCAGTTTCTCTCTCTCTCTCTCTTTCTTTGATGTTGAGCCCCAACTTTACGCTCAATATCAACTCAAACCAGAATGCAAGAATTCTGATTCCAGTTCTGCAGAACAACCCATCACATGCACACAAAAAAAAGGTTCTAAAAATGAAAACCTTTCCCACCCCAACCCCCTCTGCTGTAGCTCATTTTATAATCAGGGACCTGTGGCTGGGAGTTAAGAGCCGTCACTGCATCCGTTAAAATTGTGGTTCACTCAGAGCGAAAAGCTAAACTCCTATAAGACTAACCAAAGTCATATTGAACAAACTTCAGTGTCTTACCAGCTGAATCTGATCTCCTTCAATAACTTCCACAATGGCATACGTCTTACTCATCTCCTTCATCCTCTACTCCTTCCCTCACAAGGCCGGCGTTCTTTCTTCTTCTCTCCCAGGCACCAGCAGCACATCTAGCTCTCTCTCTGGCACTGCCACCCCTTTCCTGTGAGACTGACCTCAGCAGCACCTATCCCGTCTTTCTTCTACTTCAACCAAACAAGAGTGAACTTTCCCCTAACTGGACTTTCAGCCTGTTTTCCCCTTGCACAAATTGCCCTCATCCCCCCTATTCCCTCCTCCCTTCTTTTCCTCCCCCTCTCCTTCTCTCTCTCTCTCTCTCTGAATGTCTTGTAAACAAGTTGAACTCTAACTGCTGGCAGTTTAATTGTTAATTTTCTGAGTTTGTTCCCTCAAACACAAAGCACGGTACAGTCTTCATCTGGCATGTCTTCCCTTCAGTTTCTAACTACATCCAGCATGATTTAGGGATGGAATGTTTAGTGTTTAAGTCAATTATACACTTTTACATGTGTGTATGTGAGTTTGTGCATGTGTCTGTGTATATGGGTGCATCAAGACAATGCCTAGACTAGTGCCTCCTATGAGGACAAGCAGCTTTAGAGCAAAATTACTACCACTCATTGTGGTTTAACTGGACTAACAACTACACAAACCCCATTACCATCCCTAATAACAGCAAAAAAATCTAGCATTAACAATAACTGAGAGGGGTGTCACAGACAGAGAAATATCAAATAGATGCAGGAACAGTGATTACAGGAACTACTGAAAAGCCAATGTCTGAGTACTGATGACTCTGCAAATCCAACACAATGACTCATTTAGGGCAGACTGGTCCCAAAATATAACCTGAAGTGGATTATGGTTTCAGACAACTACATGTTCAGTGGATTCAACATTAGAGAATTCTAGTGTGATATTTTCAAGGTGTATAAAACATGTGAACCAACACAGAACATGTATGTAGTATGTACCTAATGTATTCCTTATAAATTATATTACCATACAAACAGTGCAAAACAATGAGTAAATGTCTACTACTACTAAAAAATATATAAAAATATAATTTTCCTTAAAACAATTAAAATTAGCTGTTGACTGGTCAGTTTATTAGACTAAATAAGATCAATAGCTGAATTGCACCAGATACTAAAATCATCTCATACTAATGGGACAATATTTCACAAAGACTTTACTTAAATTATTTTAAAAGAATATTGCATGTTGCTGTTGTTCTTAGGATGGATAAGTTACCACAAATATTCATGTCAAGTAAAGCCAACTTGTCTTTACAATTGCTACAGCATATGATAGATGACCCAACAGCCTTTAGACCTTCGGTTCAAAAAGGAAATAAATCCACCCAAAAAAAACATTTAACTTGAAATATGTAGGAAATTTGTGGTAATAATTTAACCTAAAATACTTATCAGAAAACAAGTACAAAGTACATTAGTCATCTAAAAGACAAAATCACACCTTGTGGGTGGGTTGGCTCCACTTACTGTGTTTGGCATTTGGACAGGGTCAATGTATCCCTGAATGTCATCGTAATTAGACTGCATGCTGATGATGTCATCAATTACCTCATCCATCTGAAAAAAAAAAATACAGAGGAAGAGTGTTAGTTGTGATTATGACATTCAAACAACTATTATGTTTAACTTTAAGACAAAAAATGCACCTAAACTACATTTCCATGTCCAGCAAACACCACAGAGACAAATGTCACTACTCGTAGCACCTGAAAGGTGATGGCATGTAGGCCACCAGGTGAACTCGCCTGCAGGTGCATGTCTCACTCAAGAGTTGACTTCTATGTCATGGAGGCTAACTCGAAAGACTATTTTCTCTCAGACAGACTTAAAGAAGAGAGTTAGAGAGTTGGAGGAGGAGGGGGAGGAGAGTTGGTCAAAGTCTGCATGGTTCAAAGGGCCTTAAATTCTGCTGTCACTTGTTAAGCTGTAATTACTCCTGCAAGGCCATAATGGAGCATTTAAATTCCAATGATAGCCACTCTCAGTTATTGCAAGTTAGTCAACACATTCATCCATTCACCTACTGTATGCACGACACATTAACACCACTGCGTTAACATATGCTGCTCCAGCCTACCAAGGACCAATTAAATCATTATGAGGCTTTCATAAAATGTTGAGATAATGTGACTTTGGGGGTAATATTCAATCCCCATAATTTTATATAGGAGTGTAATTAAGTCATATTTTATGGTTATTTGTTCAATCTGGTTCTTTTAAAATGTACTTTATAACATGACGAGGAATGAATGTTTATGGGTTTATGTTCATGCCACTATCTGCACACGCTTGCTCTTCGTCTACCTCCTTCTCGTGGCTGGAGCCAATGTTGAGCATGGCCATGGGGCTGTTGGGGGCGCTGTTTCCAGACATAAGCTGCTCGGTGCGCATGTGTGGGGAGTGGAGGGGTGGGGGGGCAGACGCTGAACCTCCTGTAGGTCCCATGTTTGTGGGAGGAGAGGGCGGCACCAGCCCTGCTACTGCATGGACCGTCTGCAGACAGAGAAGAGGGTGATGGTGGTGTTAATGACAGATAAATATACTACAGTACTATTTGACCAGTAAATAAACAGAAAAACAGGCCATATATACATAGGGTATATCTAATGAAAGACAGACTGACATAAAGATATACAGTACAGAAAGGTATCCAGAAAAGTACCTGTTTGGTGGCATAGGTGGTGGACAGGTATTCCTTCACCTGTTGCTTCAGAGACTGACGGATGTGGTAGTCTGTAGGATTCTCAAGGTGGGTCTGTACCTGTTTTAGAGATGGATAGTGAAAGGATGTTTCACTTCTTATTCTATTATCAATTTTGCACATTCATCCAATTCTTTGTTGATCCTGTTATTTTTGGTGGAAACACATTATATCAGCATCTATAGTGGCAATTTATTTTAAATGCACAACCTGTGATCCAAATGTAAACAAAAGGACTGAAAGCTGATGCTACTCCAAAACTGACATGTATGTTAATACATAAATAAATTACAGAATTGTAAAAACACAGATACATACATACAAAACATCTTAAACTGGAAGTTAAAGAAACATCTGAGCAAAAAATAAACAAACAAATGATGACCATAACTGATTTGTTTTGTAAGTCAGATTATTATATACAATTTTGGATAAATCAAGATTTTCATCGTAATCAAGGGGAAAAGTTGCCATGTTCTGTGCTAGATGCTATATTTTGCTAGATTTTACCTCAAGTAAAAGATGCACTTGCATAAGCTTAAAGGGAGGCAGCTTTAAGTGTAAGCCAGCAAAGACAGCACAGTTTTACAACAATAGAATCAACGTTATTGTCACGTATACAGTCATACAATACAACTTATAGTGAAATTTGGCTGTAGATACAGGCATTCTGATTCGTCACAAGTTTTGCGCCCCCATTGTAGCTTCTCCCTTACGCTTGGAAAGGGGGGGTGAAGTTAGTGAGTTGCAATCTGCAACTATACCGCTAGATGATCCTACACACAGGACTTTTAAAACACATAACACAAAACACACTGAGTATGTGCTTCAGAGGAACACCCCATTATCTCTATGCCATAAACACTGTGATGGCATTAGGACATAAGAGCTTTAATTCAATAGAAATGCCAACAGGAGTAAAGCCACACTAAATCTGTGTGGCCACATAGAGTAATGGGCTGGCCTCATTCCTTCACTTCAAAGAGTAAAGCTCAGTAGAGAGCAGGCCTGCTCCCCATTATTCCAGAAAAAGACCCCTCAAAAACTCATCAGCACTCCAACCACCCTCTGTTTTTTAACCAACAACAGGATTATATCAACTCAACCAGAAACTTTTCAATAAATATGTTTTTACACCTTCATGCTACTTTATGTACACAGCTTTAAATGTGTTCGGGTCTCATGAGCCAGAGGAACAACTATTCAGTCATAACTATTCAACCTATTTTCCCCAGCTCTGTCAGTACAGATGAAGTCTAAAGACTGATGGACAGACAGCCTAACTTATTTACAAAATGTGAAGAAAGACACTGACAACTCTAAACACCCACACACACATGCATGCACACAGAGTAAACTATTGATACAGCAAATTGCCTCACACAGTTACCAGTTCATACCAACTGTACAGTTTTACAGTTTGAAAATACCATAAAACAAAACAAACACATACATAATGGAGTATTGCACAAACCCATACACACACCATCAAAGATAAGGATGCACACAAGCATCTTAGGAATCGGGCAAAATGTCACTTCAGCTTTATCTGTCCCTTTCTGACTCAGACTATCTACATCGCTCCTGTCTGTCCTATCACACAACATGTCAAACCTCTCTTATCTGCCCGTCTCCCTCCCCCACTTCTGTCTCCCTACCTGCTTGCTGCTCCGCATTTCTCTCTCTCTCTCTCTTTCTCGCTCATTCTCAGCCACATGTGAGTGGAATAATGGAAGTGCCACAGCTCCCTGTCCTTTTGAAACCCACATTAACCAACATCTTTTCTCTCTTCTGCCAAACCCCTCAATGAGATCTGTTTAGTGCTTTGTCTTTGTGTTGTGTTTTCATTTTGACCAGAAGTGTCACTGAGATTTTATTACACTCATTATTTTATTCCCGCAGAATGCACAATGCCAACGCTGACGTGTGAAATTGCAGTTTACATCCATGTCTGTCCAGACACATATAATATGGGTAGTTAAGACGTGAAGGAAATATAAGTTATGACTATATTGACATGTATGATTCCAGTGAGTTATTTTCAGTGAGAAACATGCTGTCTTGACTTAAGGAGTACAGAGGGCTTTGTCACATGGTGCAACAACAGTCACTCAATATCAGCCAAACTAATGAGCTTGTGGTGGACTACCAGAGGAACAGGAGGTTGTCCTGGTTGTCATCCAGGAAGAGGAAGTGAAGAGGGTGGAATCATCAAAAAACCAACCAACCAAAAAAAACGGACTGAACTCACAACACTGAAGCCCTCTTCAAGAAGGGAGAGAAAAGACAGTTCCTGAGGAGACCCAGATCCTTTAGTGTGAGCAACAGGCTCCTGCAGATCTTCTATCAGTGTGTAGTAGCCAGTGCTTTGTTCTTCACAGTGGTGCGCTGGTGTGGAACCACTATGTAATCCAGTTAGATACCAATTTAGTCACAAATATGGTCACAATCCCCTGTTCTGGTGGAGTTATGGTGTTAAAGAAGGTTTTTTTGATTATGATGTGTATGTAAAGTTGACCTTTTGGATATAAAATATCCTAATTTTATTCTTCTGGACCTTTGTGTGAAATTTTGTCCCGATTAGCGTATCAATTCTTGAGTTATGGCCATAAAACATGTCTCCCAGTGGACGTTTGTGCTAGATGACAGACAGATGGAAAATCCCGAAAAACATAAATAATAAAAAAGACGATATGTAGCAGGATGGAGGGGATTCTGTGTTCAATGAACAAGTTATAAGTTATAAGTTATAAGTTATTTTTTCGGTTCGTGGCAAAATATTTTACAATACTTCCTTCTCATTAAAGCCATTTCCAGCCTTCATAATATATATATATATATATATATATATGTATATATATGTCATGATCAAATGCATGACTGTGTTCACATGCTAACCCTGAAACAATACAGTTCAAGGTGATTAGTATTAGGTTATTTTATCAAAAATGCTTAACATTCGCAGGGTCCAGCTTCTCATAAGAATTGCTGCTTTTCCATCTTTGTATCACTGTAAATTCATCACCTTTACTTTTTGAAGTCATCACCCTGGGTTCGGGGAAATTGGCATTTTCACCATTTCCTGAAACTGATTTGATAAGATAAAATAAAGACATTAATTGACAATGGAAATGATCATTTGTTGCAGCCCTACTGACCTTAAGAACCTCCACAGGGACCTGCATGCTTTGGTAATGCTGTGGGGTGCTAATGGCTGGGGTGGGTGCAGGTGGCCCAGCCATGCGTTGCTGCATGTATTGCAGGGCTGCATTATGCTGCTGCTGCTGCTGCTGCTGCTGTAGCTGCTGCTGCCTCTCACGCTGCTCCTCTTGCTGCAGCTGGTCTCGCATCAGCTGGGGACACACACAAACATCACAGGAATGTTCATTAAAGCACTCTGACCTATAAACAGACTTTGATGGGTGTTTTTTTTTGCTTTTGCTTTTTCAAGAATGGACACAAAAAGCTGTCAGCTTGTTAGCAGAGCACAACTGGTGACTCACACATCTATTAAAATCACCCTGTAAGAAAAGTATGTACAGTAAATATATTCAAATATGCCAGAGGCCAAATAGCATGGCCAAATTTATCAGTGGAAAGAATGGTTGCCATTGCTGACATTGACCAGTGTACCTTCCTTTCGAGTAGCCACTGAATTAAACACTACAAACAGACTGTGATATGTTGTACCTGCATCCGCAGGCCGATGCGTGAGGCCATTGCTGGGGGGCGAGGGGGCAGGGGAGGGCGAGCCGACGTCAATGCACCGCAGTCCAGCCCGAGAGGTAGAGGAAGCTGTGGATGAGAGAGGGGAAAAAGTGAGATTTGGGCCAGAGGAAGGAAAGGGAGAAAAAACAAGATGAAGAAAAGGAAGGATGGAGGAACAGAATTGCAGGTAAAGTTTGATGTGCAAAATGTAATCCTCTCTAGCAGAGGACTGAAGGGATTCCTAAACAAGAAGAGTGGCTATCAAGAGTGCATGCAGTGTAAATACTTCTACCTCAATTGACATACTCTCTTGGTAGAGCTTCAATGTGTAATTGTTAATAGGTACATTAGTGATAGGAAGAGCGATGTGAGAGGAGAAGGGGAAGTGTGCAATGTTTTAATGCACTTTTTTTTATATGTTAACTGAGCTGTGTCTTTGTGGTTAGGTGCTCTTTGCCTTATGTGTCAGTGTTTCTTTAACAGTGAAATAGCTGTAGTTTGGGCATGTCCTTCCTTATTTCAAGATAACATCATAAACGATAACCTTGGTTAATGCTAATTATGACACTACCATGTCAATTCAAGCTAGGCTAAATACGTAATAAATACTGGACCTATCACTGTCTGCACAGAGACAAAACAGATTATCATCTTACTTTGGGTAAAACAGCAAACAGCATTTTCATCATTAACAATCAGCAACTGTCAGCTCTGGGGCCGTGGACTTTTCCACTTGTGCCACTCCACTAACAGGTATGCCTGAAACCTTTATCTTAATGCACCACTGGGCAAGCTGCATATTCCACTGACATGAACTGTGTCCCCACTGAATCAAACACACCCAGTCCAAAAACAGGTTGACAGACTATTTACCACATCTATATGCCTTAGAGCACTCACTGCTGCAATGTCTCTTTCTGTATGTATGAGGCCACTAGAATAATAATAGACTGTTTAAAGGACATCTAGTGGCAACCTTGTGATGTCTGTCTGTACACAAACTTATGAAAAACAGGCCGTAAGGCTTTTCATGTTTTCAACACTTTGTCTGTAGTAGATTTGTTGCTTCTCAAATATCTTTTCATATATCTTTACAGACAATTAAGATCATTGCCTATATTAAATACAGTAGGGATTGTTTTACAGGTTCAGTCTGTAACATTCAGGAGGATCTATTGGCAATATAATACTCTTATATACTCTATTACTATGTTTATTACTGTATGATCACTTATTACAGTAATAGTTATGTATTGATACCTTAGAATGAGCCTTTTATAACTACAGACACTGCAGTCACCTTCCATGTAGTCCGCCATGTTGAAGATTGATTTATACTGAGCATGCTTTTTATGTCTGTGCTTCTGCTTCTGCTTTTCCTGTTTTAGTATGTAGTATAAGGGTGTCCAGAATAATGATTAACTTTGTTTTCCTTTTCTTTTTATTACTGTTCTGCATGCTTATAAAGTTATCTTATTAACTTTGTAATTTCAATTTTATACTCTGTTTTTAGGGTGACTTTGCAATATCGGTCCAGGGACTACAGATGAAAATAAACTCTTGGCTAACTCATTTACAGCAGAGTGCCTGCTAAATAAAACACATGTATATATTTAACCATCCATAATCTGTCAATTTGCATTGGATTTAAGATCCATCCAAGAAATTACACATCACATAACTCTGTAAATCCACCTTTGCTTGCTTTACAAACTATAATAGAAGTAATTCCCACACCTCTAGGAACATGCTTTCCCTTTTTTAAATCAAGTAAGGAGAAGACAAAAAGGAAATAATAATCAAGTGGTCATGAATAAATTACGGCAATAGACATACAGGATGTAATTTAGATCTAAATGAGCCCACTGCTTACTATGATTGACTGTGTAGTAGTAGAGCAAACCAAAGCAAAACAAACCACATCTTCAGGCTAAAATCTATACACTCTCTGTGTATGACTTCACCTATAAGTTCTGTCATATTTATTCTCACGGTTGAATGAAGTTAGTAACACTCTCTGGCCCCCAACTCTGTCCTTCCAAAAAAAAGAGTGAAATGCGAGGTACTTCCTCGATAATGTTGGAGTGGTCATGTGGGACTCATGTGGTCTTGTTGTTCTTGGGGGATCATGTGAGCAGAATGACGATGGGGAACACCCATAAACCCTTAATGCCTCCTCCTCTTTTCTCTCACGCATACACACTCACAAACATGCATACATGCACACACTCAGTGGGGAGTCCCAAGACTGATAGTTCCCCTTCTGCAATGACTTGTGTTTATCCCCTGAATGACTAAGCTCGTCTAGACCCACAAAGGTGCCATGATACCTATCAAAGGTTTCTTCTCTATTCACATTGTCTCTGTCGATGGTAATGTGCTGTGAGACAACTAGACACAGAGAGGCAGTGACAGGGACATCAGTGTCTCAACAACCAATCAGAATCCAATTCCTCCAGTCTCTCATCAGAAACACTGTCTGTATATGGTCATAAAGAGAGAAAGAGACAGAGAGAAAGACAGAGAGACAGAGAAAAAGCTCATTGTGTGTGAGGTACAATAAGAAAGGCAGCTCCTATTGAGGACTGAAGCCGCCTGTTGTCCGAAGTGTACATTTCAGCACCCGAGGAGGCACACACTGCCCGCTTTGTGCCCATTGGATGGCCCACATGAAAAATACACACCCATGCAGGGAAACACATTGAAACACACACATTCCAACACAAACATGTACCAGAACTTGGACTCAAGGACAGGCAAACTGCACTCCAGCAGCCTCACACCACCAAAACAGACTCAAATATTGTCATATCCATAAACAATAAGCACTAATCACATCAACGACTGATGCTGTTGGAACAACTTTGCACCTACTGCTAACATCTGGAGCTTTAGAGTCAGGCCCTGTAATAGTTGTCTTTCAAGGTGCTCACTTACACTGACAAACAAGTGCACAAACACAGTGGTGGAATGCTCCACAGTGTATTTATAGAGTCTGACAAATGGGGTGATTACATCTCCAAACTTAATCGGCAAGGTAGGAATGCCAGCCAGAGGAGGACGTGTGCTATGCGCTTCGAGGGTCTAAGTATAGACCCGGACGATGATCACACTGTAAAACCCTTTGAGGCACATTTGTGATATGAATTAAAAACACAAATTGTATTTTTTGAAATTAAACAAAAATTAATTTGAGCATTGCCAACCATATTATGTTCCACTATAGCTTTACATGCTAAACCCAAAACCATAAAGTGTATACCGTGCATACCAATTTAACTTTCCTTCTACAACTTCTCCATAGCGGCTACTCCATAACATAACATCAGCACTGAGGCAGGGGTGCTGCAAGGCAACAGTGTTATTTCGAGTAAAGTAATGCAAGAAAACATTACAGGCAAGACAATTTATTGGCCAATATTAATTTGAACAGTAAGTTGAATCCCACAGCTCTGCAAAATGAAACTGCTTATGACACCAGATGTAGCGGCTACAATGTTTACATAACACTACCTAACTTTCCAACACGTGAAGTATGTATCATATAGCCTCCAACAGTGACTAAGCCATGATACAACACATGCACAGACACACTGATAGGATATCACTTCCTGATATCATATGGTGACACACTGCTACCAGGCAGCATGATCTCCCACATGGGCCTTCCCATTGCCTGGCATCCACTGGGGTGAGCAGGCATCTGTGACGCAGTACAAGGACACAGCTGCCATTGTGAGTCCAACGCTGTGATGTCACGGCCCCTTTACTTCAAACACTGACAGCCAGTGGGAGGATGTAGAGCGGAGGAAGCTGATGTCAGAGGTCAACTCTGGATTGTGCCACAGATTAGTCACAAATATACATGCCAACAATAAACACACAATACACAGAAGTGTGCAAAACACAGAATACATTAAACATGCTGTGCACACTGTGATGACAGCTTTAGATATATGTGCAAAGTGTAACACATACACTTGGGGACAGTGCAGGGCCATGGCACCTGTGCTCAGAGACATGGTGTTAATTTGTGGAGTGTGTATATTTAGAAGTGACTGTGCAATGCCAACAAAGTATGCATTACACACATACACTCAGGTGCTCTCTCATACAACAAAGCATGTGTGCATCTACACGTATACAGCCACAGCTGCTAAACAAAATTCAAAGACAATTTACAGACGCACTGAAAAAAGTGCCGTGGGACAAGTGTAGGAACAAAAATACATTTTATTTAGGATCGCATGAGTTCTGCACAACAACAAGTAAAATTAGAAAGAAATCCTTCAAGGTCACACAAATTTGTGTACATGTTTGACAAAACAGCACAAGTTTAACCTGGGCAGGCCCTGCTCTTAGACAATATCACACTAGAAATACTGTTCAAGAACTGTTCAATCTCAATCATGACAGGGTAAAGTCATGCAAGTTTAAATCACTCTTGGTTTTGTATAATCAATGATAATTATTTTTTACACGTTGATATTAAATTTCAGGTATTACATACTTTGTCCAACTTCCCCTTAATATCATGAAGGATCCAAATGTGACACTGCACTGTGCACTTCACCAGCCTTTCCATCGCTGTACAAACACATGCGCACTAACACAAACACACGCCCTTTCCGCATTAAGCTATCTGTCTGCCTGCTCTAATGACTAAAATAACCCCCCTTGCTCTCTGTTCTCCTTTTCAGGAACACCCTGTTCCCCTGAGCTATGGTGTGTTTTTTTCTTTTTGTTTTATGTATGTGAATGTGTGTATCTGCATGCATTTGTGCATGTATGTTTGCAGGTAGGTGGGGGTGAGAGGTGGACATGCACATAAATGGTGCACATAAAGTGCACATGTGTATTACAGCGTCTGTCACTTTTAAGCAGACTCTTTCACAACATGTCAACAGACCTACAGTATCAATATTCCTAAAGCACTGCCACCACACACTCAACGAGTAAGGTTGGTAGGATTATGTGACAGTGCCGGCATGGTAAGAATGGGGTCCTTACCCCTTCCTCTTTGGTCTCACACACACAAACAGCTGCATCCCTTGGCAACAGAATACACCAAACTATTCTGCATGGACATGCAGACAGACAGACTGGCAGACAGAAGGACGGACAGTCATATTATTTTCAAACACTCAGGACTGGTATTCTGTTGGGTCAATTGCTGCTTTAGATATAAAAACCTTCCCGTTACCACCTCACACCTGTACTAAACACAACAGATACTAAGGAGGATTTAGTTACAGCATACACGGGTTGTGTATGCATACCAGAGTGGATGAGGTTTCATTTCTATTAAAGTCATTTAATTCAGCATTGCCTGCTGTGTTAAAGCGGGGTAGCTCCACATTCACTGAATGGGTGGATTTCTACAGTATAATATACATAGAAGCACATTACTGCAGAGACAGACATATATAGACACATGTTCAATTACCTGTTTGAGAGGAAAAATAGTTCACAAGGAGGAATACGCTCTGCTTATGCTGCTGACTACATGTCAGGATGCTGGAGAAAGCGGATGGCAATCTGCAGGGAGGAGGTCAAGGGGCAGAGAGAGAGAGAGATGGAGAAAGGTGGTGGAGGTGTGAAAGGGAAAGAGAAACAAACAAAGACAGACAGACAAAAACAAACGAAGAACAAAAGATGATTGGTTATAAAATGGAAAACTGCAAAAATGGACAGATGGGATGAATAGCTGCAACATAAAATATGCAACTGTGACTGATGTGTGAAGAGGCAACAGAGGAGGCAGTGAAGTGTTCAAGAGGGGGAAGCAGCAGGTGTGCAACACACACTGTAGAACTTAGAAAAGAGAATTTCCACGGCGGAAGCAAGGGAAGCAACAGACCATGGCTAGACCTCAGCAAAAACACACAGTGAATTGTGACAATATTCTTAATTGTTTTAAGGCTTAATTCTGTAAGTCTGTTGCCGGAGAAACCTTTGATTCAGTTGTTTAGTTTTTGGGTTTTTTTGCATTGCAGCACTTTTGCAGCTGTTTAGACTCTTTTTTCAAAATAGTACAGGTTAACTCTCAAGTAAAATATTCAGAACACGGGCCCCTTTTCCTTTTGCAATATATTTTAGCATGACTGGGGTTAAGGGTTGGACTGCCACAAAATGATCAGTGCCCTTAAATTGTTAGTAAACTTAAGGTGAATAGAAACTTCTATGTAATTTACAGGCATAGATTACAAGAATACCGTGTCTCTAAAAATGAACATCAACAAGCATAAAGTTTCTGCTCACTAACCAACTTTCTGAAGGTCATCTGAGTGAATCACCACAACTCTTTAACAATGTGTGTGAATCACAATGCCTGTCACCTTCTAAACACAGTCTATATATAGCTGACCAAGAGAGACCCTTGTCCAGAGTGAATCTGTCAACTCAGTGCTGTTTTCCTCGGGTTACTCTGCTTCATCAAAGGATCACAGAGCAGAGAGCAATGTGAAAAAGTAAAAGGACAACAAAAGGTTATCAGCACAAACGCGCACGCGGTCATATCTAATCAAAGTACAACACAATGAGATACAGGAAAGACAATAGACCAGAATCATCAATAATAACCACAATGAACCATTTCCCCTTTCCTTCCATTGGTTTTCACAACTCCTAGTTTTGTCAGCAGTGAAGCAACTTCCTCTGCAGGAAACCCAGGGAAATAACAAACGCTGCTTGTCTTAGCACAGTTTCTAGGACTGAGGCGTAAGTCTTGTAATGTTTTGATACTGAGAGACTCTTCTCAGACAATACTTGAAAACTCTAAAATGTAACGTAAAACATTCCCTGACGAGTCCCTGTCTAACCAAACTGGTTAGACACATACAAGGCCATGTGGTAGACACACAAGTCACGTACATGTGAACATGTGTAGAAACAGAAACACATGCAGATATTCACACTCAGATCATGGGACATACAGTGCATCAGTTAACCTGCTGTGGCACAGGTGTAGTGCTGGTAACTGATGAACTAGCATAGACACAAAAGATCTTTCAATGTATTTCTTGAAATGCAAACACTGAAGAACTGTTGTAGTAACTTTTTTCTCCACAATACCATCAAATTCTGCCTCCGCTTAGCTGCACGTAATGAACAATAACTATATTGCTAAACATTGCAGTAATGACTGTGTTTTTGAAAAGGTCAAAAAGCAGTATAAGAATCAGTTTACTGTAGATAGCAATTTAACCAAGGATGCTTCTGTTGCTGTTACTGCATCTATTAAGGAACTGCACATTACTAAAAATCCTTGCAACAAACAACAAACAACAGATATCTTCAGTTTCATTTCTCATTTAACAGCATATCAGCATGAAAAGAGCTCAGATTGACAGTGTCGTATCCGACAGCAGGCAGTGAGAAGCACTGATACTGATACATATAGCACAGTATGTATGACCTTAAGATTCTTACCAGCAACTCTCCAACTATCCCAAAGACAACATAGTGTATCCAAGAGAAATCTGCTCCTCCACGTGTTATTACACACAGTCACTGACAGAGACAGTTTGCTGGCTGGGCCCGACCAACTAGTGCATTCATATGCCGGTTCACTGGTTGTGACGCCACTCCTCCCTCAACAGGCTGAGTTACAGTATGCCGAGTGACAGTTACTATTAGTCACTTTCCTCCCTCCCTCTTAACTACCAGCTCAGCTTCCTATTCCTCCCCGTGTTGCTCCTCCTCCCACTCTCCTCCTCTTCCCCTAAATTAGCCTGAATGCCATAGTCTGGGGTGACAACAACGAGAGCCCTGTGTCCAGTAAACTTGTCTCCCTCTGTTTTTTCTCTCTTTCACTTTAATGTGGAACTCCTCCTTCGGTCCAGCCTCCTTCCTAAAGGAGGGTGCAACGTTTACATACAGCAACACCTACACATGTGCGTGTTGGAACTTTAATAAACCCTGGAAGCAATTCCTTATTTTTTCTTCCAGGTCATTGCGTTTTTCTGAGTCATGGGGTAGTGAATCGGCATATCTACTTTTGATAAATGCACTCCCACATACTGTCACCCCCTCCCTCAGGATTGTGTATGGGCTTGTTATCTAAGCCATGACGCCTTATTTATTGTCATAGATTCACTCGGTATTAGTTATCACACACTTATACCTCATAAAAACAAAGAAACATCCCATTGCAATACTGAAAGTCATGATCACTGCATTCTTAAGTAATTATTTAAAGGGCGTAGGAATTATACAAACAAAAAACTCAATGAATTTTGAAAAACATGCACAGGTGAAGCGACCACAGAGCCCTGAATCACAGCAGATAGCTAATGACTGACACAAATGGATCTTAAGACATTTCAGTGAGACACTTCTGATTAGTTGTGAGATTGCGCAGGTGGTTGCACAAGAATGACTATTTCTTCATGTTAAAAAGGATACTTTAGAGCACTGGAGATACCACAGTGCAGTGCAGCAATTGTTTTTGTATGCGTGGAAAAAAAACAGAATGAATATTCTAACATTTCTGTCTGATGAACTGAAAAAATCTTACTTATAAGTTAAGCTTGTTGTCTGTGCATACTATAGAAGAAGAGCATATCTCAGTGGTCCTTTTAACAATCTATCACTTTCAAAAACTATACTTTGCGTCTAAGGTGAAGCTACAAGGCTGTATGTTTACTTCTCAGTGATTGGCTGTACAAGCGCTGTGACATGCTAGTGAGTTGGGATTAAAGAAAAACTTCCTCTGAAAAAGTGCTGTAATAAACAGCAGATGCACCATGAAGCACTCCTCCCTCTCCTCCTTGCTTGTGCCACTCATTTTACACTTGCAGATGCAAAAAAAAACTGCCAAAGATCAGTGTCTCAATATTCTCAATCAAACAGATACAAGAACATCCCTCCAACAACAGATGCACAGACAACAAACTATAAAACAAAGAAACAACAAATACTAAGATGACAACTTGCTGACTGGATCATTAAAGAAGCCTCCTAGTGGTGAAATCATACATAACAGCAGAATATTTTCCCTTTAGAGCATGAGGGAATGCTGTTCATACACAGGTCTTTCTGTCTTTTAATCAACCAATCAGAAATGGTTTTGAGCTTGAAATCTGGACATATCACACATAAGTAATTCCTCCTTATTACAACTTAAACTTGACTCATTAAACTGAATACAGAGTGACAGGCTTTAAAATCAATCAGCATCTTCCTGTGGTTGTCACACGTATTTTCTCACAAACATACTGTAAAGGTCACATGTAAAATGTCCATTATGTTTGTTGGATTCTCTCTGCGTGATGTGTGTGTGAGGTTTTGGCAAGAGGTGTATTGCCATGTTAATAAAACTCCATCTCAGGCCTTTCTTTCTCATTCCTGCATGTAAACCGAGTATTAGTGCCCCTCCATCCATACTCTCCTATATGCCCCCCCCATCCTGTATCTCTGAATGCAGAAACACAAACACTGGTATCAAAGTGCCACTCAGATAGTTGTGCCTATCACAACAGAGGAGAACACTGGCCAGCATGGTTCAGCAGTACCCGGCTGACAAGCATCCCTTGTTTGTACACAAAGCAGTTAACAGTGGGCCAGCTCCAGTTCTCATAGTGCCCGCAGTGTATTTACTGGGTTATTTTGGTCCAGGGGCAGGACCCCTCCAGGCCCTCAGCTTATTGGTTGGGAAAACTGTGTTCCTGTCAAGTCTGGCCAATCCTAAGGCGTATGTGTAGGAGGGGAAATCATTGACCAAGACAGCCTTGTACTCTTTTGACAATGGCCTATGGAGAAGGCAGGATCCAAACACACACAGTATGTCCACACACACTCACAAACACACCACCTAAGACCCTCTCCTACTCGTCCGCCGGGAAAGTGTCCCATCGTATACTCCTTCGGTCACCATAGTTGCAAAGAGGCTGCAAACAAATACAACATACAAGACCATCATTGTAACTTTATTGAAAGTGTTGGACGACTGCGTTGATATGTCTGAGTGAAGTTTGACCCAGCTACGTTAACCTAGGGCTATCTCTCTGTTAAGTAGGACAAACAGTGCTGTCAATACACCCGACAAGTTATAGCCGGGTCCAGAGGCGATCAGTCTAACAATTCAACCATTTAAACATGGATTTGCAGAATATGTAGCATTTCTAATGTTTAACCATTCTGTTGGTATGAAATGGCTTCACATCAAATGGAAATATTATAGACATACTGCACACCATTTTATACACATTTTCCTCTTCATCAGCGTTAAACATTTGGTAACTTTTCATATAAAGTGCTGCAAACAAATGATGTAAACAACCCTTGGCCACACAAAGGTGAGTTTGCAAGTATGTATCCCCCAGTGGTTCCAGCAGTGGTTAAGATATGCTGCTGTTTTCAAAACTTGTTTTTATATTAGGTAACTACTAAGTGTTACGTCATATGACCTGAGGTGACCTCAAGGTGCGTCCATGAGTATTAAGCGTGTTTTTAATGGTTAAATGATACATACCACCTGCCTTCCTCCACAGACATTAACCACATGAAAAGAATATTATTTGTATCTTTGTGTTTTT